GACGTAGGATCGAATGGTAAGAAACAAACCCAAAAACAAGGACAAAGTTGATGATAAAATACCACAAATACGTTAAAGAAGTTCATGTCATATATATAAAAAGTGAAATAACGCTTTACACCTCAATACTTTTGATTTAATCAACTCATATATACCCATGTAGATTTATGCTTGGTTTGGGATAAGCTTACATTACTATTTTACATAGCAATTTTTTAGTACTTAAAAAAAAATAAATAAATAAATTTTGTACTAAAATATTATTATTATTATTTATTATTGAAACAAATTCAAAACAAAAGCTTCATTTGTAATAGCTTTTCTTGTCTTTCTAAATTTCAAAAATTTTTATATACTAGAAAACAGTAAGAAAGCTATCCCAAATAAAACTTTAGTCTCATATTACTCATCAAAACTATTGTTTAAATGATATTATTTAAAATTAAAGCAGATATTCCAAAGTTATTAAAAAAAATCATATTCTAACAAATTAATATTAAATATTTTGGCTTCGTTTGGGATATCTTTTTTACTTCTTAAAACAATTTTGCAAATTTTTGTACTACAAAACTGTTTTTTTTTTGGAACATTTAGGCCATTTAAGGCAAACTCACACACACAACGCATACACATAGACTCGAACCCTGAACCTCTTAGTTGGAAGTCTAAGCTTCCAACCAACAGGCCAAGGAGAGTTGTGTTACAAAACTGTTTTAAGAAGCAGTAAGAAAGCCGTCCCAAATGAAGCATTTATTTATTAAAAAAAATCAGTTGAAATGTTAAAAACAAATTACTACATAAGAATTCATTATTTTCAAACATTAAAATCGAATTAATTGAAAATAAAGTTGAAATGGCAAAAATGATCAAAAACTGAATCTACAGGAAATTATTCTCAATAAAATGTCTCAAAAAAGATGAGAGAGTGAAACAAAATGTAACAACATTACAAGAATTTCTTTGTCTTACCAGTTGAATCAAGCCTATAAACCCCAACAGCTGGGCTCCCCCTGTCTCCACAATTAACCAGACTTGCATCATCAGTGGACTGATTACAGTTTGAAGGAACATCTTCTATGATTCTTAACAGCTCCTGGATAGAACTATGAGAAGTAGAAGCTGGGCTCAGAAAAGAACTCTCCTCTTCAAGACCTGAAAGATGCATTTCTTCCCACTGGGAAGAAGATTCATCTGTAAAAACATGTCCAGAATTTATATCCCATTTTCTATGCTGCCCATACTGGTAATTTTGATTAAACCTATTTATAAATGAAAATACACATTAAGAGGTGTTAAGGAAGTGTATCTAGAAAGAATGGAAGCAAAGGAATATAAATGAAACCTTGATAGCAATCTCAAATTTGAATGGACAAACATCAGGTCGTCTGCTTGGCTTTCATTCAGTTGGTATCTTTTAGCGTGATGGATGAAATTATATGTGCTCCAAGGTTTTTCAATGGAAGAGGCACTGATTGGTTGTGCTAGTACTCTAAAAGCCATGTCTCTCAGTTCTTTTGTATCTCCACCATGAAACTTCCACCACTGCAGGACATTGATTTTGGGATTTCGGGCATCCCTTTTAGCCGTCGGAGATGAGAACTTGCCCTTCTTCTCCACAAATGACAAGAACTGGACACGAATGGTGTCCGCGTGATCATCATTTGGATGCATTTTGCATATTGCAGCCATGGCTCCCTCGAAAATATCATCATCCTGGTCTGTTGGCCAAAATAACCATTGGTAAGCTTAGTCTCATCATGTAAGTTTCCTAAGCAAACATGACTGAACAAAGATTTATATTTGGCTCGTTAAGAATGCAAGTTTATTGTAATTGCTCAATATTAGCTCAATCACTTAAAGAACAAGTCAAACACAAGCTTCATAACGAGCCAAGCACAACCTATTTGTGAACAATAAACTTTTTTTACAGCCCTAAGTATAATATTGGAAACAGAATGATAAAAGGAGAGCAAAGCAAGAATACCTGGAGCACATCTCTTTCTACCTCCAGGTGCAGGAGTTTGAATAAGGTCTTCATCATAATATTTTGGAGTAAGAGCATAAGCCAAGCATTGCAATGGAACATTACTCTTGGTCCATCTAGAAAAAAGTTTTTCCTTCACAGTCATAAACATCTCCACATGTTTTTTCAAATTATCTTGGATCTCTCCCAACATATTGTCCATTCTTTCACAAATTTCTCCAATTAAAGGGCCTTCTTGTTCGGTAAATTTAATCATTTTGTATACTGGTTTTATAATATCCAATGCCAATTGCACAGCCTCCCAAAAATCCTCTGACAAGATACCTTCTTTCACACTGTATCCACAAAGCTCGACTTTCTCATCAAGTATAGGTAGTCTAGACCATATTTCCCATTGGTCGGATAAGACAGCAGCCACCAAGGTCTCTTTTACATTAAATAAAAGGTGAAAAATATAGTAAACAGCATAAGGTCTTGTTGCAGCTTTTAGCAACTCTAACTTCGAATGGTTAAGAAAGATCTCAGCTGCATCAAAGTGATATACAATATATTTCACAATAGCTTTTGCAGTCAAATATGTTTTCTTCAGCCAAGGTAATTCTTTAATGACATCCTTAAGAACCAATTTTAGCGTGTGGACAATACAAGGGCTCCAAAATATGCAAGGATATGCTTTCATTACATCCTCGCCTGCAGCTCTGCAACTAGCTGAATTATCCATAATCAATTGAACAACATTATATGGGCTAACCTTCTCAATTGTTTCCAGCATGTAGTGTGCGATTTTTTTATGAGATTTCTCAACAATTTGAAAGTCAAGAGCATGTAGAAACATGGACCCAAATTGATTTGATGCTATTACATTGATTAACGGACGATGTTTGATATCAGTCCAACCATTCGATAGGATTGAAATTCCATAATGAGACCACTTCTGCTTGAAATCATCTAGTTCACTTTCAACTATGATCCTTTCATTCTGCAATAGAATAGTAGATGCTCTTTCATATGAGGGGCTTTTATAACCAAGTTCTTTACTTATTGCTGACACCATTTCTTCCCAATAAGGTGACCTTAGTACATTAAAAGGGATACCATTTGCACATAAACAACGAATTAACTTAGAATCGACATCATGTCCATCTTGCGCTGACGGATCTTTCTCGAAGGAACCTGCATAGGACAAGGCTAATGAAGGCCCCTGCGATGTAGCCCCGGAGCAGGAATTGAGTTTTGATTTCTTCAATGGAACCACATTTGGTGAGCTCTCAGCTTGCTCAACTTCTCTCTTAATTTGGAGTTGTAAGTTTTTGTCAGCCTTCACAGCAGAACAATAGCCAATCCCTTTACTTTCACCTTTTTTATGTCCCATCAAGTGTGCATAAACTCGTGTGTAGGTACCATGATATATCTTTTGGCAATGTTTGCATTTAAAAACATGGGAACCTCCATGAGCATTACCACATTTCCTCCCTTTAACCACATGTTTCCATAAGACAGTTGCATTAACATCAGTTTGGCTTTCCTCCCCTAACTGTACCTCAAGTTCATGTTGTACTTGATCATCTTCACTGTAGACCAAATTTTTATCTTCGAAAATAAAATGCCCTTCCCCAATTGATGAGAACTCAATTCTCCCATCATCAGTCACAGGATGTTCCTGATCAAAAGGAGAGTCTGTAGACATTGTCTATGGTGTGGAATGTGTCAAGCATCAAGAGCTAAGGAAGCAGTACCAACCGATGAAGCCCAACATATAGGATTGGATGTTTTATAGTACATCGCTGCACAAAGTGAACTGTTGAATATCAAGTACAAGCAATGGCCAATAGTTGGGAATTTGGAGAAAAAGAAGGTGAGCACTGTTGACCATTAAGAAGATCCAAAGAAAGTGGCGCTCATTTTATTATATTATTTTTTGACATTTCTTCACAAACTTAGTAAGTTGTTTATTTGCTGACTCTTTACTAGTACCGTAGAGAAAATCAATAACATGCAGGGGTAGAATCAGCTTTAATTTTTAGGGTGGAGAAACACAATACAAGAAGAATTAAATATAAATAAAAAATAAAATTATATAAAACAAAATTCAAAACAAAAACTTGTATTTCATCATAATTGCTAAATAAAAAAAATAATTACAAACTTTACATCATGTTGAAGTTGGCATAAGCCTCCAATTACGATAAGGGGCAACTGGGCAAGGAAAACAAATAGTAACAAGGGGGTCTTTGGACAAATGAGTCGACATTGAAGATAGACAAGATGGTAAAGTCAAGTCAAGCTTAAGGCGGCATTGATGTTTCTATAGGCTACTAGAATAAGAATCGATTTACTAAGACTTAACTTCTTAGAGACTAAAAGACAAACAATATCTTCTTCTTCTTATTATTATTATTTTACTTTACTTTATTTTTTTACAAATTTAAAAAGATAGGAAAGACATTTATAATAGAACACCACCCTATCTCAAGTGAACCCCAAAAAATACCATTTAAAACACTTGGATACATATTACATAATGCATGCAGGATACACTAAAAAGAGCTGCGATTATAGAAATACTTACAAGAAACTCTTTGAATGCATCCCAATAGCATTTCTACTAAGGAAACCATCATATATAAAGTATTTATAGCCAAAGATTTTAATCCAGAACAGTAAAGTTGGTGAATAGCATTAACGATTCAACATGATACAAATTCCACAAGAGCATAAAACCAAAGAAGGTCTAGGACGAAGAATTGAAGGGTGGCAAATAATGTATAAAATTATTTCCTGCTATGATGAAATTGCTTGAGATCGGAAGCCCATTTGGCGCTCTCAACCAGCTCAATTCTAAAAATCAAAATTAATGGTTCATTAGCTAAGATCCAAGAGCTTATAGAAAACGATTCCAGGATCGCAAGCATCCACGAACACCGAGAATGTTACATTTAATGCTCTATAAAGCTATGAAGAATACTAGCGACAAGAAGTAAAATTCCAAACCTGAGTACCGGAAAACTAATCATTAACCGTAAAATGTTGGCCCTAAGCTATTCTCACTGTCAAAAGCTGAAAGATTATAATAACTTCTCCTTTAAAACCAGCAGAAGAAAATAAAAATCTCAATCGAAGGAGACATTTGATCAATACAATAAATCTAGAGCCGAAAAAAGGTAGGAAATGAAGTCCCTGAGAGCGCCAAATGGGCTTCCGATCTCAAGCGGTGGAAGCACAATAGCTGTATAAAATTATTTCCTGCTACAAATGAGAGGAACTAATCCCATATCGAAAATTCATATAAATGCACAAGCAAAGAAGAACAGTGGTTAATATCAAATACAACCTCGATTTTGGTTTTCAAATTCATATAACTTACAGCCAAAATGGCAGCGAAACCCTAGGTCAAACCGTCGAGTCGGCGGCATCGTCCTGCCTGCAACCGGAGGCGTCGTCCGGCGATGCTGTCGTACAGAGAGGAGAAGCCGAAGACGCGGAACAGAAGCCGGAGGCGTCGTGCGGGATACTCGAGCGGAGCAGACGGGGGTAGGGCAAATAAAAATTTTTAAGGGGGTTGTAAGAATTTCCAGAATTGCCCACCCTGCTAATTTCATTGTTTCTTGGCAAAATTTTCGAATGGAACAGATATGATTAAAATTTTAGTAATAAGAGCACTAAAAAAAAAAAAAACTCTCCTTGGCCTATTGGTTGAGAGCTGAGGCTTTCAACTAAGAGGTCTAAGATTCGAGTCTCTGTGTATACGTTGTGTGTGTGAGTTTGCCTTAAATGGCCTAAATGTCCCAAAAAAAAAGAGCACTAAAAAAAAAGAATTTTAAATGGCGCATAAACTCAAATGATGAGTGCGTTTTGCATGGAAGAAAGTCACGGGCGTTCATGCCCGTGACATGATAATGTATTTCCGTGAAGCACCTAGCCAAAATCAAAAAAGAAAAAATATATAATGTAATTCATTTATTGCCTATAAATAGGAGGAGATAAGGAATATAAGCCTCTGTTGTTTGAAGTTGAGCCAACCGTCGAAACAATAAGGTTAATATTAATATAATTTGTTTAGTTATTTTAATGTTGAAGTATCGTTTTTTTTAATATATAAATCCGAGCAATTATGTGTATATTGTTGAACTATTATTAGTTATTTATAGAAGTTATAATTATTATAAGTTAAAAATTCATATATAACTTAATATTTAGAAAAAAATTGAAGATAGTAAATATTTGAGATTTGATTTTGAAATATATTTTATTAAGTTGTGTAAGAATTATTATTAAATTAATAAATTAACACCATATGTAAGAATTAACATATTTGATACATTATGTAAAAATTATCTTGATCGGGCACGAATCTCGAGGCAAAAATCAAGTTGGAAACTTCAAAATTAAATCCGGGAGTACCTGAACTCCGATTTTAGCGAGCTTACAATCAAACTGAGCGTCTAAAAAATACAAACCCAACGACACCAAATTCAACTCAATTTGAGCCCAAATCGATCACCCAAAGCGATGTTGGAAAGTTTGTACCACAATTTGAGTTTCCAAACTGTCTCCGATTTTGACGAGCTTATAACCGAATCGAGCGGCTCAGACGAAAAGTATTTTAACTCTATTCGGGAGACGCTGGAATTCTGCATAACTTTGTAACTTAATTTCAATTTAGAAGAAACTCTTTGTAATCTGATCATCCTAACTTGTGGAACGAATCAGCCTCTATACTTTAAACAAACACTAGTGGAATTACTTCAACTGGGCGTGGCCCCGTGGTTTTTTTCCTTTCAGGTTTTCCACGTAAAAATCATGGTGTTTATTTTCCTTTCCTGTTTGTGTGCTGAATATTCATGCAACGCTAAGACGAAAAGTATTTTAACTCTATCGCCGCGTATATTCTAGCCCGCAACAGTTTGGCGCCATCTATGGGAACTACTATCCCACAACTTCAAGTATTGCTACAATGATCAACAGACGTAGTAGTCGCATCGTTGAAGCTTCCCGCTCCAACTCCCACCAATTTAGAAATCAGTCTGTGAATCATTCCTCATAAGAGGGGACTCAAGCGAAGAGAAGAGAAGAAGGAGGAGAATCAGCTCCTCCTTGACCTCCGCCGGAGTTCTTTCCGCCGCCTGAATACGCCGGAATTTTGCCGCATATTCGGGAGACGCTGGAATTCTGCATAACTTTGTAACTGAATTTCAATTTAGAAGAAACTCTTTGTAATCTGATCATCCTAACTTGTGGAACGAATCAGTCTCTATACTTTAAACAAACACTAGTGGAATTACTTCAACTGGGCGTGTCCCCGTGGTTTTTTTCCTTTCAGGTTTTCCACGTAAAAATCATGGTGTTTATTTTCCTTTCCTATTTGTGTGCTGAATATTCGTGCAACGCTAAGACGAAAAGTATTTTAACTCTATCGCCGCGTATATTCTAGCCCGCAACAGTTTGGCGCCATCTATGGGAACTACTATCCACAACTTCAAGTATTGCTACAATGATCAACAGACGTAGTAGTCGCATCGTTGAAGCTTCCCGCTCCAACTCCCACCAATTTAGAAATCAGTCTGTGAATCACAAACGCCCGTTGTCTACCTCTTTTCATCCTAAGGGGCAAAATGCTGCTGGAGAAGGAACCTTGGGACCTTCTTTAGAAGAAAGAATCCGAAAGATGAAAGAATATCAGAATGAAATTCTTCAACTCCTACGAGAGGCCCGGAAATCGACACAACCATAAAGGGAGGAAATGCTTCTCCCTCGAGATCCACCACGGGTTGAAAATGTTTAATTCGAGCATCTTCAAGCAAAAATTCCTCTTCCTCCCCCAAGAAGGCAGATACATCAAAATAATGAACTCGCTGATACAACAAGTTCTACATATCCTTCGCCTTCAACTCGATAGCCTCGCGTTCTTCTAGATCTCTCAGAAGACTCAACCCAACCACACATTGCTGAGCTCCCTCACAATGCTCTACGTCATGAAATGCGAAGATTGGTCCGGGAAGAGTTCCCCCGAGGAGATGTGAGGCAAGCTCTCCGACGGAGGAACTTCTAGGGGTCATCACTTCTAACTTAAGCCATTCTTCAGCACCCCATTCTGATTGGATTCAAAGTACCAAACGTTAAGTCCTACGACGGAACGACCGACCCGTATGAGCATATCGACTACTATAGAACCATCATGCATATTCAACGAGCATCAGACGTACTCCTTTGCTATATTTTTCCTACAACCTTTAAAGGACAGGCTCGAACGTGGTTCTATTCGCTTTCGTCCAGAATGATCCCCTCATTCATCAAATTAGCCAAACTATTCGTTGAACAGTTTTTGACCAATCGAAGAATTGTTAAGGATTCTTCCCACCTCTCCGGGATCTGCCAAAATGAGGGAGAATCGTTAAAGAAGTATTTTCAGTGATTTTCCACCGAAGCTTGACAGATTACAGGAGTAGACCCTGAATTACTCAGAGGGCTTTCTTGGAGGCCTTCATCCTGGCTCCTTCTATTCAGCACTTATGTGAGAAACTGTTTATTCATATGCTGATCTGATCCATCGTGTGGAGGCATAAATTTCTGCAGATGGAGCTATAAATGCTCATAGGAGCAGTTTGAATAAACCAATGGGAAGCACAAAAGTGCACCTGAGATGGACAATTCATCCTCATAATAGAAAATGCAAAGGAAGAATGATCTACCTACTAGGCCTCTATTACTGCGATGGGAACCTCGGCAGGAGGAGTATACCCCACTCAACACATCTTGAGCAAATGTGTTAATGGCGTTTGAGATCAAGATATGGTAAAATGGCCATATCCTTTGAAGCCAAACACAGGAAATCAGGATCAATACTATCACTTTCATCGTAGTCGTGGCCGCACTACCGAAGCCTGTAGGCAACTGAAGGAGGAAATTGAAAGGCTTATCCGCCAAGGCTACCTTCGACAATTTATTCAAGATTCACCTACCCGAGAGGACGCTCGTCCTGCTGGGGGGAAAAGTCAATAACAAAGACAACCATTAAATAATATTCAAATGATTGGAGAGATTAAATGATCACGCACTTTGTGCATTTGTATTAACAATACTACTTATCTTTTGTCTTATTTATGTTGAGTAGGGTGTCACTTTGATATCTTTAATGTCTTCTTCCAAGTTAAAAGTTGTATTGTACCCGTACGTATATCTTATGTGTTGAGTCATTATAACTTGCATATCCCTAAGTCATATTATGGAACTATTGTAATATCTTACATAATACATTAATATGATGTTCACATTGTTGTGATATTATTTTTTCTTATAAAAGATAAAAAACTTCTCAAACTCCTTTTTTGTGATTCGAGAAATACACAATCTATATTATATCTCAATCACTGGATGGTCAATCCCAGGGGGATTTGATCCGACCTCTTTCACACAAGTTAACGTCATCGAGCAGGGCTCTGACATACAACCTCGGATAGGTCTTACATCATTGGTGGGTTCTCTCGACCTCTTTCATACAAGTTAACATCGTCGAGCAAATGCTCTGACATACAACATCGGATAGGTTTCACATCCTTGGTGGATTCTCTTGACATCTTCCATACAGGTTAACGTCATTGAGCAGGGCTCTGACATATAACCTCAGATAAGTCTTACATCCTTGGTGGATTCTCTCGACCTGTTCCACACAGGTTAACATCATCAAGCATGGCTCTGACATACAACCTCGGATAGGTCTTACATCTTTGGTGGATTCTCTCGACATCTTCCACACGGGTTAATGTCATCGAGCAGGGCTCTGATATATAACCTTGGATAGGTTTTACATCCTTACTGGATTATCTTGACTTTTTTCACACAGGTTAATGTCATCGAGTAGTGCTCTGACATACAACCTCGAACAGGTCATATATTAATGATGTATTCTCTCGACCTTGTCTACAGAGATTAGCATCATCGAGCGATATTTTGAGTGAAAAATGTTCTCTCTATAAAAGACTCCAAGAAAGCAAGTGATTGATAAAATCTTAACTCCAAAAATATGGGAGTCAATATATCAAAATCATGTGTTAAAGATGCAATCACAATTTAGCTTTCTCTAAAGAACGAGTTCTCAATTTCATATACAACATCACTGGAGTTACATTGCAAAAATTGTACATCAAGTTCATTTTTACAAGAATCTAAAAGTGAATAGGTACATTAGTATCATCCGTACAAGTTAAAATCATCAAGCAACAAGAAACTTTACAATAGTAAAATATCCTTTGCGGATTTAAGTGACTTCTTCTCTACTACACACAAATCTCCTACAACTTCTTCTTTAAAGAAAGAATATATGATGTCTACACATGTCGATATGGATATGACATCATTGCACCTTTTCTGATATTTGTTGGCGGCCCTTCACTTCATATCGGCCATTATCGGCTTCTCGCTCGATTGCTACTTGCAGCACACCCTCAAACTCTCCTCCTTCAGCTCTACACTCAATCGTTGACTGGTAATGGGCTTCAACTCGATCGTCCATCGCCGACAGACTTCCGCTCAAACATTATCAAAATTCTTCCCGTCTACTCATCACTTCTAGTTCTCC